GGGTGGCTTTCGGGGCTGGTCGGCTTCCTGCCCGTCGGCCTGCGGGTGGCCACCGAAGAGACCGGGCGAGGGGACCCCCCCTCCCCCACTCTGACCCTGCTTCAGGGCTCCTCTTGTGTCCTTGGGAGTCAAGGGGACCAGCAGCCCAGCAGATGCCGCGAGGGGTTGGGGAGCTGGGGGGCCGGGCTGGGCAGGGCTTCTCCTTGATTTCCCTAACACCCTGACCCCCTCGTCCCTGGACCACAGGCGGCATCTCCCCCCTCTGGGCCTCCGCTTCCTGCCCAACCGTCAGCTTGCCCTGCTCTGCCCTTTGCAGGATGAGTCCCAGATGCACGGGAGGGGGAAGGAACCAGGAGCCAGTCAGAGCGCCTGGGGGAGGCCCCGGCCCCTGGAGAGAACACCCACCCCACCCTTTCCCCCTTCCACCCGGCAGCCACGGCCGGAGTCTGGTCCCAGGATGGGGCTTTATTTCAGGAGACTTTATTTCATGACCGCCCCCCCCCCCGCTTTGTCTCACAGCCTGTCCTTGCTGAGGCAGGAGGGCCGTTCAGCCAGGGGGCCAGCGCATCTGGCGCCCCCCCAGCACGTGGAAGTGGAGGTGATAGACCGATTGAGCACCATCCTTCCCGTCGTTCACCACTGAGAGAGAGAGAGAGAGAGAGAAGGTCTGGCAGGAGCAGACTGGCGGGTGTGTGCATGTGTGTGTGTGTGCCTGTGAGGCCCACACCTGAGAGTGACCCACCGGGGGGGGGGGAGGCATGCCTGGGCTGTGTCTGCAAAGTTCCATTAGAAAAGGAAGTGGGGGGGCTCCCCCTCCCCCCCTTCCCCTGGGCCTGCACCCCTCATCCATGAAATCAGAGTCATCCTCCCCCCCCCCGGGGCCCAGCAGTGGCACCCTGGCCCAAGGCCTGGGAGACCCTTGGCATAGCAGCTGCTGGGGGGGGGAGAGGGGGGTCCTCCAGCTCTGCCCGCTGTGACCAAGGCCCAGGACCTTGGGGGGGGAGGGGAGCAGCGGGAGAACGGGCAGGCATCCCCTCCCTCGGAGGGGGGGGCAAAGAGGGCGCCAGGGAGTGCCCAGGGTGGGCAGGGCTCAGGGGCTCAGGCACCCACTCACCGACACGGTAGCCCTCCGAGAGGCCTTCCGCTCGGGCCACCTTGGTGGCCACCACCAGCAAATGCCCCAGGAGCTACCAATGGGAAGAAAAAAAACTGGGTTAAGAAAGGGGCTTTGCTGGGAGGCCAGTGAAGGGGGCTCCTCCCTGTGCCCCCCCCACACCCCACAAAAAGGAAGTCCCAGGAGGGCCTCCAGAAGGCCTTTGGGGAAGGGCCCTTGGGCAGAAGGCCTTCCTGGAGGGAGGGGGGGCAGCGCAGGAGAAAGTGGCCAAAGGGGCAGCTGTCCACAGGGCCCCCCCACCTTCCTTCCCCCCCCCCACTCCCACACAGACACTTATAACTCCTGACAGTCAGGCTTGCCT